TTTCAATTTACACACATTTTATTTATCCGCATTATAACACTCCAGACACATGACCTCGTTTTCTAAACATTCCAGTTTACTACTAGTTAGGCCTAGTCGTGGAGCTAACCTCCTAAACAACGATAATCCAATCCTCTGCGCAATATGTGCATGCTCTTCTTCAGAAAGCTCACCTATTAAAAAATCCAAAAATTTACAAAATTCATTTTTGAAATAAAATCGTGAAAAATTCTTCCATTTTTTTAGGATCTTCTTTGGCTAATTCCTGAGCTAATAAGAACTTTCATCAAGAGCGTTACTATTTGTAACTGGTTTTTGGCAGTTACGGAGAAGAGTTTTTGTATAGCCATTTGCCTTTAGGACATTGGAAACATATTTCCTCTCCTCTGCCTTCGAATCGAGTGATGATGGTAGACAGTCAGCCCTCCTAAGTAAAGAGAATCGAAAGCGAGGTATTTGTCGGTGTGGGTGGGTTTACGGTAGACACTTGTCTCTAAATTACCCTGAAACCCTCTGGACACATTTAAATCAAGAAAGGGCAACTTGAACAAATTAGACAAATTGGAAATAAACAAATTAAATAAACAAATTAAACAAATTGGAAATAAACATAGTAAATAAACATCAACACAGTTTTTAAGAACCCCAACTAGTAAAAGGCAGCCAAACAGAGCAAAGCCAGTGAGTGGAACTCAGGGCAACTGAAAATAAATCCAGTAAGTAGCTGAGTGGAGAACTACAACCTTGGACCACCGGATTACAAGTCCAGCGCCCTAAGCACTTGGCCAGTCCCCTTAGCACTTGGCAAGTGCCCTAAGTACCTGGCCAGTGCCCTAAGCACCCTAAGCACCTAGCCAGCACCCTAAGCACCTGGCCAGCACCCTAAGCACCTGGCCAGCACCCTAAGCACCTGGCCAGCACCCTAAGCACCTGGCCAGCACCCTAAGCACCTGGCCAGCACCCTAAGCACCTAGCAATTGCTCTAAGCACCTGGCCAGCACCCTAAGCACCTGGCCAGCACCCTAAGCACCTGGCCAGCACCCTAAGCACCTGGCCAGCGCCCTAAGCACCTGGCCAGCACCCTAAGCACCTGGCCAGCACCCTAAGCACCTGGCCAGCACCCTAAGCACTCAGCCACTCTGCCTCTCTGATGGTGTGCATTCCCTTAAAAATGTACCTGTAATTTTCAGATTCATCTTTAATTTGAAGTTGCTGTGATGTGGCATATGGGACGGAGGCTGCTTTGGTCCCAAAATTCACTGCCACTGCAAGTTTACAGTCGTCAACAATGATAATGCCAGTCTGAAAAAAGAAAAAAAATTAGTTACTGGGTAAAAAACATTTCAAAGAAGAGTTACTCATCCTTGTATGTATTAAATTTTTTCAATATAAAGTGAAGACTAACTCTGAGATCATCAAAGTAAAACACAAGATAACTTGGGATCCTGGATTGTAACAGGGGGTTAACCCTTTAACTCCCATGAGTGACCAAGACAGAATTTCTCCTTACAATATCAACAAAATATCCAGCAGACACGTGATGAGAATAAGAAAAATTTAATTAGGTATTATTACTTGATCCATTACCAAATTCCCCAAACTAACTTCAGAAGAACTATATGGCAGACAGTAAGGAGAATTATGAATGAGATCTTGGGAGTTAAAGGGTTACAGGTAAAGGTGAAAGTGTTGTTTGCTGAAAGGGTCAAATCCCTCCAATATATGTACATAGCAGTTTACCCTTTAACTCCTAAGATGTGATTGTTAATTCTCTCCTCTTGCTGCTACACATTCCCTTTTAAATTACAGTTGTAGTTACAAGGATTTGGTGTTAGATCAAGAAGACAACTGTAATTGATAAGTCTGAGTATTCTTATTACCTGTTTGCAGAATTATGTATGGATACCATAGGGAGAAGTTACATGTTAATCACTTCTAATAATTATATATGAATACCATTGTGAGAAGTTACATGTTGATCACTTCTAATAATTATCTATGGATACCATAGGGAGAAGTTACATGTTAATCACTTCTAATAATTATGTATGGATACCATAGGGAGAAGTTACATGTTAATCACTTCTAATAATTATGTATGGATACCATAGGGAGAAGTTACATGTTAATCACTTCTAATAATTATATATGAATACCATAGAGAGAAGTTACATGTTAATCACTTCTAATAATTATGTATGGATACCATAGGGAGAAGTTACATGTTAATCACTTCTAATAATTAAAAGGTTCATCTCAGGAAAGTCACTTACTGAATTAAGGGCAGAAAGATGAGATATTTATTGAGTTATCCTTCAGGCATCTGAGATCAGATCATTTTTTTAAAGCCAATTTGTAGAATTATCTGACAAAATTTAAGTGGCCTAGGCTGCCTTTCATTGAGATGAGGGCATGCTGGTTATACAATTGTACAATGTACAAAGACATGATAAGGAAATGATAAAGGAAAAACCTAGATGGAAAATTCTAATTATTAAAACTAGGCAGTCATAGATGAAAGATTCAAGTTTGAAAAACAATAATCTGATTAGGATTCTGTACAGAACTAATAACAGTAGCACTCCACTACTACATATTTAATGCCCTCCAAAAGTTTTTTTGGGCTCAACTACATTCTTTTACATTAATGGTCCACAACTGTTATTTCAATGAGATTTTACATCTACAGTGATGCAGTTTTGGAATATGGCTCTCCCTTATCAGCCGCAGATTATTTGGTTTCTACCAGTAATTGCCATGCCTACACCGGAAGAGAAATAATTCCAAAGTCTTTTTGTTTTCTTTTCTCTAAGTTAAAAATTCAGTATCAACAACATTCAAAAGGGATTGATATATTTTAGTATTTTCTCACAAGTTCAAACTCTTTGTTGTGTGATGCCCATTATTTTCCCATGACCTCTTCATTTTTTTAAACAATGCAAGTTATACTTCAACTTGTAATTACTTTTGAAAGAATACAATGAATTACTTATAGGTCATGCATTTTCATTGCACACCACTCAGCGCTATTGCAATGAAAAACAAGAAACTTTGAATTCTCTCCAATAAATAACAAATAGCAACTGGAAGGGGGAGACAGGAATATGTCCCAATTTTTGTCCAGCCCCCACTAATGCTATTTTTTAGCACAAAGAATGAAATAAATGATGCGCGCAATATCATGTAACATGACCTCACCCTGTAACTATTTTATGCTCATTTGATTCCTAGTTTTAAAATGTTCCAGATTACAGGAACACTCATTTATGTGAAAGAGGATGTATTCATCACTGCATTCATACTTAGACTAAAAGCACTCTGAATTCTCAGAGTTGAAATTACAACCTTTGGATTCACACTTCTGATGTTCTCTCATACATACTGAAGTATAATATATATATTATGTACTGTATGTGTTTACTGCTATCCCCAGATTGTTCTTTTTATTTCCTTCTTATTACTTTTGCTGCCCTTCTTTGACCCTTTAATCCCTGAGAGTGACTAGCATCTAATTTCTCCTTTCAATATCATCCTTGAATCAAACATTTAGGTCATGAGAATAAAGGAAATGATAATCAATTGAAGAACCTCTTGATTGTTAGACAAATTCTCCTTGCCAGCACCTTAGAAAATGTATAGAGAGCAGTAAGGAGAATATGCATACTGATGTTATGGTGTAAAGGGTTAAGACTTTTTATTCACATGAAGTCAATTTGTTCATTTGTATACAATGTTTGGCAAGATCATTTAAAGCACAGGTTATCTTGGCACATGTTGTGCATGTTCATACATGTTTCAATGCTAAGTTTTTTCTCATAGCTGTGACAGGTTGAAATTTTGAATTGCTTATCACTGCAGGAGTTCTGTTTGTTTTTTTCTAAACTTAAACAGCTTGTTGCTCTGAAGAAGCTGTGATACTTCCAAAATGATTTTTGGATTATTAAAGGTTCAGAGGTTATCAATGAAGGTAGTGGTTGTTTTCATATGAAAATTTTAAGTTTTTTTTCTTTGTTTTTGTCTTGAGTGGAGTTCTTTTTTTTATGGATGATCAAGAGGAAAAATGGGCAAATGTTGTTTTTCATGAAAACTTTCTTGAAGTCAAGAGTTTTACCCTAATTGAGATGCTCTATAAAATAGTCCTGTAATATCTATCAAAATATTAGCACAGAAAAGCAGATAATCCCAAAGTTGATCATGTCTTTTGGATGGTTTGTTTAATCACTGATGAAAAACATATGCTTTAGATTTTTATCAGGTTTTGGCTTCCATGCAGTGGAAATTTAAACCAGATTGAGCATGTGATTTTATGAAATTGTTCCTTAATTAAAAAACAATTTTCAACTCCAAGAGATAAGGCTCTCTGATCAATTTAAATGATTGGAATTTGTGCATTGTAAGGAATGTCAAATGAAAAGAATTGTGTAACATACACCACTCCAAAACTGCACTCTTCAAATCAGTGAACAATTCCATTAATAAATAAATAAAACAATTTTTGGCCATTTTTTTCTGATATTGATCAACCAAACACACAATTGTGCAACCAGCAAATACCAGAGTAAAGTGAATGGTCAGATGTGTTTGAGACATGAGCCTTGACACTTGAATCATAATTAACAACTGAAGTTAACATATTTACCCTCAAATTATTCAAGAGTAATGTTTACAGGTTATTGGCCACCAAAAATACATGTCACCTTGAGAGTAAAAAAGTTTAAGCAACAAAATCATGGGACACTCATAAACATATTGAAACCATCATGTGAATCTTGCTCAAGAAAAGCTCCAATCTGTAGTTTTACTCTTTACCTGTGGGTACATGTCAGTTTGAATTAGTTTACAAATTTAAAGTAACATCTAGTTAAGGACTTTGCAAATTGTAAAAGTACCAGAAAAAAAGTAACAGACTGTAACACAAAATAAATTGAATTTCTCATTGCCTCCTTCACCCTTCAACTCCCAGAAGTAACAAACATGTAATTATAATATCCAAACATTATCCATTACACAGGTAGTGAGAATACTCAAAATTGTCATCTTGACCTGATACTACCAGATTCTTGTGACTAATTTAAAGAAAATGAACAGCAGCTACAGGGGAGAATTGACACTCAGATCTTGGGAGTTAAAGGGTTAACTGAACAGAAGACTTCCATGGTATAAAAGGTTCTTCATATCGGAAATTTTTTTTTCAAAAAAGATTCTTACCATGTTCTGAAATGCCACTTCTACTTTATTGCCAATTGCCATCAATGACACCACCATTTACATTCAATGTAACATTATGACTTTGTGGGAAAACAGTGACAACCTGAACCAAACTTGTCCTTGCCACACTTCCACAGCAATAAAGTCATGTTTTCCATCACACCGTCCATTGAAGAGCAAAAGCCCACTGTGCTCAGTGGTGGTAAACTCCATCTGTATGTGTAAACACCATCTTTGTTTCAATGCTAGGAAAAAAATAAAGTCATCATCATTATCATGTCAAAACAAACTACAAACAGTGCCATTGAGTAACAATCCATTCACCCCTAAGAGTGACCAGCATCTAATTTCTCATTGCAATATCACCCCTAAATCACTCATTAAAGTCCCTAGAATAAAGGAAATGATCACCAGCTAAAGAAGCTCTTGATTGTTGTACAGTCTCCTTGTCATTAACCCTTTAACTCCCAGAAGTGATTAACATAAAACATCTCCCTACAATATCCATACATTCTTCAGCAAACAAGTAATGAGAAAATTCAAACTTATCAGGTACAGCTTTTTCAAACCCCTAAGTCCTTTGTTTCATACAACAATGAAATACAAAAAAAGAATTATAGCACTGAATAACAAAGGCACATGAATTGCGCATTTTTCTTGACCGTGCGTCTGACTACTCTGCCTCAGAGTGCATGAAATTCGTCTGCACAGTTAACGTATACACGAGCGGTACTTTAGAAGCTGCTATCCTGATCTACTGTAGCACCAAGTTCTCATAACTAATTTACAAGGAAATGTAGAGCAGCTACAGGGGAGAATTAACAATCAGATCTTGGGAGTTATAGGGTTAACTTAGGAAATGTACAGAGAACAGTATGGAGAATATGGGTACTGATGTTTGGGTGAAAAGGGTTAACATAAAATTACCTTTCAGACAGAGCTACATGAAGGATAGTAAACCAATACATTTAAACTCACAAAAAGCCTCACAACAATTGAAATTCCATCCCCCAACACAAGGTAGAAGTATGCACCTGGATTGGAACACAATGCTCCTAACATAGTATATGTGACTAACTTGTTTGATTTCAAGTCACCTCCCATATTAATAATCTATTCATCCATTTTCAATCCTGTGTGAAATTCAGTATCAAGTGGCTCATGCAGTCATGCAGAGGTGGCAAGTTTTAAAAGGGGTGCTTACTAAAGTAAAGTAGAAGAGCTTATTCTAGGAATTATAGTCATGTAACTACAAAATAAATCCTTACCAGGAAAGGCAACAAATGATCCTTTTTTAAAACTGCACGTTTTCAGTTGGCACAGTGACCCATCAACTTCATTCAGATCTTTGCACTGACAGGTGAAACTGCTTCCAAGAACATTTTTACAACCACCATCAGTATGGCATGGATTTGCATTTAGATGATTTTCTGTTGCTTTTGAGTCTGTAGGACACTTGCTCTTTGACATGTCAATCACACAGTTTACACCAGCTCTTCCTGGATTGCATATACAAGAGTAGTCTTCCTCTACACTCGCACACTTCCCATTGTTTCCACAAGGATTCGAGTAGCACAAGTTTAAACCTGTGTCGCAACTTTCTCCTCGATAGTCAGTAGCACAGGGGCATATGTAATTAGTTTGCGCTCCAACTGAGCGGAATACCACCTTTAATGAGCTGTAGGTGTTGGATTTGACAGTATAGTCAGTGTGTGACAAGCAGCTCCTTCTGGATGTCACTTAAAGGGGAAGTTGCATATTTCTTCGACACACAAGCCATCTTTGAAAGGAAGGAGAGTGACTTTTGCCATTTTGGAAATCTGTTCCATGTTTATGTACACCATGTCTCTTACATACAAAGGATTATAAAAGCTAAAGCGATCATTTTTATAAACAGCCACTCAGAGCTTGAGATTAGAAATATCATCCTCAAGTGGTGACTTTGCCTTAATTATCCTTGATTCTATAATTTATTGATTCATCTAATTTCTCCTTAAAATATCCCCCAGAATCACACATTAAGGTCACAAGAATAAAGGAAATGATCATAAACAAGAGAAGCTCTCGATGGTTTATCAAATTCTCCTCATCAGCACCTTAGGAAATGTATAGACAACAGTATGGAGAATATGCATACTGATGTTAGGCTGTAGAGGGCCAACAACATTGTGCTTTTATTATTATGTAAAAACAAACACATTCAATGTTGCCATGGGTCTGTTCAGATCACAGCAGATGTCCAAATGTAAATAGAACAAAAAAATAGTTGCACAAGAAGCAGCCAAGAGTGTCACCGACTAGATTTTTCTTCACCCACTCTTGCTAAAACACGTTAACCAATTTTAGACATGCACCAGTGTTAGACAGTGTAGCTTAACATGAATTTTAAGTAAAAAAGATTTGGAATGTTGTAAAAAAAAGCTACAATTTTTACATCTTTACCCCTTTAATCCCTAAGAATGATAAGCATCTAATTACTCCCAACAGTTTTACCTCTGAATCAAACATTGAGGTCATGAGAATAAAGGAAATGATCACAAACCCAAGAAACTCTTCATTGTTCTACAAATTCTCCTTGTTGGTTGAAAATGTATAGAGAACAGTATGGAGAACTTGTATACTGATGTTAAGCAGCAAAGGGTT